ACACCATGGAAGATGCCCTTGCGAAGGTGCATACGCCCCCATGGGCGGGGCCACCTCAAGGATGTCCACTTCATCAGGAGAGGTGCGGGTGCCACTTTTGGTGAAGCGGATCAGCATTGTTCTCACACTCATTCTTTCTACTTCCTGGGCTAGGACTTTACTTCTGTAACTACTCTTTTGAGAGCTGTCAGTACTTATCACTTCATCCTTCGGTCGGGACTTTGCTTCTACAACATCGATTCGCCTTGGCTGCTTATGTTCAGAGTCTCGTCTCTAACTTATTTCAGAGTATCGCCTCGACTATTTATCTTCAGAGTATTGCCTCTGCTACTTTTGTCCAGAGCATCAACCTCTGCTACTTTTGTCCAGAGCATCATCGCCTCTGCTACTTTCATCCGAGCATCAGCCTCTGCTACTTTCGTCCAGAGCATCAGCCTCTGCTACTTTGTCCAGAGCATCATCGCATCTGATACTTTTGTCCAGAGCATCAGCGCCTCTGCTACTTTCGTCCAAAGCATCAGCTTCTGCCACTTTTGTCCAGAGCATCATCGCCTCTGCTACTTTTGTCCAGAGCATCGCCTCTACTGCTTATATTTTCTATGCAACCCGTAAGATTTCACCTACTTGATAATTTATATTTCAAGTCCGCCTCGCACATGAATGTACAACTCAGACTTGGGGGACTGTTGTTACACCATAAATTATCTCATGTTGGGCCAAGGCTTGGGTCCGGCCCATTAGGCTCACGAGGCCCATTTCCATTTTCTATATATATGTGAATCCATTTCATTTTAAGGTATGATTTCTAACCCTATCCAAATTCCCCTTCCCGCCTCTTGTACTTATNACATGAATGTACAACTCAGACTTGGGGGACTGTTGTTACACCATAAATTATCCTATTGGGCTCGAACTTAGCCTATCCTACCAGGCCCATTATCCATCCGGCCCATTAGGTCCCCGAGCCCATTTACATTTCACTTCTCTATATATATGAGTGACATATTTCATTTAAAGTATGATTTCTAACCCTATCCAAATCCCCTTCCCGCCTCTTGTACTTATATTTTTTCCTTGTTCGATAATTGACTTGACCGTCGGAGTGCGAACGGTCGCCGGACCTTTTTCTCGGTCAGCGGCCTTTTGCCTCCTAACGGAGTGTTTGATGTGCAGGTGATGTCCACGTGGAGGGGACGTGGCGGGGATTCTGTTCGACCATTTTTTGAGGTCAACAATATCAATGTCACATTAAAGAGATCTTGACTTACATATAACTAGAAACATGGATAAATTTGGTATATCAAGAATATTAAACACAAAAAATCAGTAGAATTATTATTTTGATATTTGTCAGTGTTAACATTTATTTTATTTTTTGTACAATTCATTAAAATTAAAGAGAAAAAAAAAATAAAAAAAGCAAATTTGATTTTGTTCTCATAGATTTTGCTGCGCAAGCAAAGCCATAAACGGCCTAAAAGATGGTGACGGTGGGGCTATAAATGTCTGATTCCACAAACAGTAAAGTAAGGCATTTCGTTTCATGATTCAGGCTGAAATTGAAATGTTAGAAGTGTTCTGGTGTTTTCATTTCTCCCGCAATCGGAAAATGAACACGATGCGACTGATTCATCGGCTACTGCGGCTGAAGCAGAAGACAGAAGCGATGGAGTAGATTTGGAAGTTTCCGCTGAGTCGGTGGTGGTTGGAAACGGTTGGGAGAGAAAAATATAAGGATAGTAATAAAAATAAATAAGAAAAGTAGAAATAAAGAAAGGCAAAGGCAAGAACAGCAAATTGCTACCTAATTCGTTGAGAATCATATCGTCTTGTATTAAGACGGTGTCGACGAATGCGAGAACAGCCGTGCGCTACGCCGGTGACACAGTAGCCGCCTCCATTTCTTCCTCGACCGACGGTCGCAAAGAACAGGTCTTCTATTGATGTGTGGTTAGTTTTCCGAAATTCTCGCCGCTTTTTCGGTTTTGTCTTTAGTTTTCCCTTTTTCACTTTCTATAGTCAATTCTTATGTTGATTGATATTGGGAAATTAATTATGGAAAATTATCTGATTAGTTTGTTTTGTTGATTTAATTTTGAAGAATAATGTTATGATAAGCTTTGTTTATGTGAACTTATTACTTCACCAAAAACAAAACTAAGAAATCAATTAGTTTTATTATAAATTAACGTGTAAAGGAAAAACCTTAGCTCACTCGACATTAAGGCCAATTAAAATCGTTTTTTTAATTTTTAACTTTGTTTCAAAATAGTAGCAGAAATTTCGAGTTCAGATGATTAAGAGAAGGATTTTACTTGTTGCAATATTTTTATGCACAGTACAGTTACATATACAGAGAGGGAATTGATTTTTAGAGTTTATTTTGTAGGGTTAAGCTATTTGTACCACCTCCTTTACCACTTGCTTTACAGATGAATGATGTGGTAGATGGATGGTGGTGGGATTAAATGTGTGAAATGTGAAAGGTGGTGTGAGATTGTGTCAAGTGCAAATTAGGTAAATCTAGGTGTAAAGAAAGGTGCATATAGCAAGATTGTATTTTGTATGTGAATCTGTTAATTAAGAGACAAGTATTTATAAGAATATAACTGTCCAGAATACTTACATCTCTAGTTAATTTTGTTGTTTGGTACCCTCCGTGTATATAGTAAGTGCTCTGCACGATTATTGTTTTGATTGCGGTAGGATTCCTTCTGGTTTTTCTTCTTACTACACTACATTTAGCTGGGGTCGGATGACTCATACGGCTAAAATTTCAACTACACTTAATTGTTTTGGAAGGGGTACATGGTGACAACTGCAAGATTTTGAGGGTTAATGATGTCATGAATTACATATGCATGTACCTTAACTCTGTTTGTGGAACCATATTATAGAAAGCCTCCTTTTATTTTTATTTAAGTGCTAATGAAATCATGAGGAGACTACTGTTAGTTATCGACTATGAATTTCAGGATAAAAATAATTAGAGTGAAGGCCTTTCTATGATTTGGTCATTGGTGTATAGGAATTTTTCTTTTTAGGTATTTCCTGTTGGTGATATTGCGGATTTTATACTTGTGGCTTCTATCATTAAAATGAAATCATTTTCATTCTTTCTGAATTTTCAGTCTTGTTTTTTTTTTCCTGAAAACAAACAGAATTTTTATTCAATTATATCCCTGCAAACCACGGTAGAAAAGAAAATAAGACTAGAATGCAACCACTTAACCAGACTCCTTGACTGATGTAGCATAGGACGGAAGTTCATGGTACACTCTATTTTCCTACTCTAGGAATAAAATGACTATGGCCACAACCCTGAACCCACATCCCAATACAGTGCTACAATACCCAAGAAAATAACTGTGTTTGGATGAAACTCAATACTGGACTTAAAGCCCTTTACTACAACAGAGAGTCACACTTAGCGGTGTCAACGAGCTGAGCCGAGCTCGAGCTTTTTTGGACCGAGATTTTTAGCAGATCGTGATCATTGGAGTTCAAGAAAAAGCAAAAGAGTTTGTGGAATTCATCAAAGGTATAATTCTAATCACAATTTCTATCTAAACACATTGCAGATCCTCATTTGGAAATTGAAAATTATTTTATTTCCGCTGTGCATGATTAAGTAAATTCCCAACAGACGGTGGGCCTATAAATGTCTGATTCCACAAACAGTGAAGTAAGGCATTTCGTTTCATGGCAAACACCAAAAATTCAGGCTGAAATTGAAATGTTAGAAGAGTTCGAGTGTTTTCATTTCTCCCGCAGTCGGAAAATGAACACGACGCGACTGATTCATCGGCTACTGTGGCTGAAGCAGAAGACAGCATCGATGGAGTAGATTTGGAATTTTCCGCTGAGTCGGTGGCGGTTGGAAACGGTTGGGGGAGAAAAATATAAGGATAGTAATAAAAATAAATAAGAAAAGTAGAAATGAAGAAAGGCAAAGGCAAGAACAGCAAATTGCTACCTAATTCGTTGAGAATCATATCGTCTTGTATCAAGACGGTGTCGACGAATGCGAGCACAGCCGTGCGCTACGCCGGTGCCACAGTAGCCGCCTCCATTTCGTCTTCGGCCGACGGTCTCAAAGAACAGGTCTTCTGTTTGATGTGTGATTAGTTTTCCGAAATTCTCGCCGCTTTTTCAGTTTCGTCTTCAGCTTGCCCTTTTTCACTTTCTATAATCAATTCTTATGTTGATTGATATTGAGAAATTAATTATGGAAAATTATCTGATTAGTTTTTTTTTTTAATTTTGAAGAATAATGTTATGATAAGCTTTGTTTATGTGAACTTATTACTTCACCAAAAACAAACCACTATGGTCATCACCAAAATCATTAGGGATCTAAACATTGTTTTAGAACACTGAAAATTGAAACATTATTCAGAACACTGAAATTTTAATTTAATGGCGAAATGAGTTTATGGAGTGTTGAAAGCACCAAAGAATTAGTTGAATTCATCAATTTCTAAGTATATGTTGTAATCCATTTGAAATAATATATGTAAGACGGATGTATAATAAGAGAATAATACTAGAATTAAACATAAATAACTCAAATAAGCAAATTTAAAAATAATAAAACTTTAGATTGGAAATAAAATGTGTGAAATGTGAAAGGTAGTGTGAGATTGTGCCAAGTTCAAATTAGGTAAATCAAGGTGTAAAGAAAGGTGCATGTAGCAAGATTGTATTTTGTGTGTGAATCTGCTAATTAAGAGACAAGTATTTATAAGAATATAAATGTCCAGAGTACTAACATCTCTAGTTAATTTTGTTGTTTGATACCCTCTGTGTATATAGTAAGTGCTCTGCACGATTATTGTTTTGATTGCGGTAGGATTCCTTCTGGTTTTTCTTCTTACTACACTACATTTAGCTGGGGTCGGATGACTCATACGGCTAAAATTTCAACTATACTTGATTGTTTTGGAAGGGGTACATGGTGACAACTGCAAGATTTTGAGGGTTAATGATGACATGAATTACATATGCATGTACCTTAACTTTGTTTGTGGAACCATATTATAGAAAGCCTCCTTATATTTTTCTTTTAAGTGCTAATGAAATCATGAGGAGACTACTGTTAGTTATCGACTTTGAATTTCAGGATAAAAATAGTTAAAGTGAAGGCCTTTCTATGATTTGGTCATTGGTGTATAGGAATTTTTCTTTTTAGGTATTTCCTGTTGGTGATATTGCGGATTTTATACTTGTGGCTTCTGTCATTAAAATGAACTCATTTTCATCCTTTCTGAATTTTCTGTCTTGCTTTTTTTTTTTTTTTTCCTGAAAACAAACAGAATTTTTATTCAATTAAATCCCTGCAAACCACGGTAGAAAAGAAAATAAGAATAGAATGCAACAACTTAACCGACTCCTCGACTGCTGTAGCATAGGACGCAAGTTCATGGTACACTCTATTTTCCTACTCTATGAATAAAATGACTAGGGCCACAACCCTGAACCCACATCCCGACACAGTGCTACAGTACCCAACAAAATAACTGCGTTTGGATGAAACTCAATACTGGACTTAAAGCCCTTTACTACAACAGAGAGTCACACTCGGCCACTTCAAGCTGGAAATCATAATCACATGCAAATGACAGTCCCTCATGAAGGGCAATAGCTTTGCCGATTCAGATGAGAATAATCCCCTGAATTTTTTCTTGCTTTATGATTGAGTATAGTATCAAAGTTATAAACATACTTTCATTTGGTAACAATGTTTTACCTTCAGACTTAGATCTTTCTTGTCTGCTTGATATTTTAATAGTATTGTTAATGTGTGTTATTTACAAGACCTGATTCCATTTGCTGAACAGGTTTTATGGGCTGGCTTTGACAAATTAGAGCTTGATCCAGCTGTCTTCGGACGTGTTCTCTTACTTGGTTATCAGAATGGTTTTCAAGTTTTTGATGTTGAAGAGGCATCTAGTCTAAGTGAATTGGTTTCCAAACGTGAAGGTCCAGTTACATTCTTACAGTTGCTTCCTCTTCCTGCAAAATGTGATGTTGCTGAAAAGTACAAATCATCATATCCCCTGATGGTTGTTGTTGGGGGGGAAGAGATTGACAGACCCAGCATGGTTCAGAACAATAGCTATGGGTGTGGCAGATATGGTTCTGCTGTCTCAATCTGGGAGCTTTATTGGCCCTCCAACGGCTGTTAGATTTTACTCCGTTAGATCGAATGTTTATGTGAAAGTTTTTAATTTCAAATCTGCTGTCTTTATGGTCAGATGCAGTTCTCGAATAGTTGCTGTGGGTCTTGAAGAGCAGGTAAGGTTTTTTTTTTCCTGATGAAATTTAATAATAGTTAATTGTAGATGTAGTTACAAGAGTAGAGGGAAAGCTGTCTTCAAAGAAAAAAATAATAAGTGAAGTGAATTGTTGAGATATTTTCCTATATTAGTCACTATAAATAAGCAGCTCGTGTGTAGAAATACGCCAATTGTTAGATTGCATTGTGCCCTTTCTTTTTCCTCCCTCCGCATTCTTCCTGTATTTTTCACCATTATTGCTGTGTATTGTTGGTTTTTGGGTCCTTGATTACTTATTAAAGAGTGCTTTATTCTGATGATAAAATGTTGATCCAAGTATAATCCCTTATGGGTCTATGATTTGATGATAGCAGGTTTATATTTCATTGAACAGATATACTGCATTGATACTGTTACTCTTGAGAAGAAATTTACTGTTCTCACCTATCCTGTTCCCCAATTCGGAGAGCAAGGAACAGTTGTTATTGGCACATGCTATGGTCCAATTGCCGTGGGATCAAGGTGGTTGGCATATCCTCCTAGTCGCCCATATCTATTGAACACAGGTAGGTTGAGTCCAAAGAAACTGGCATCTAGTGTGAGTCCATCAACATCTCCAGGCAGCAGTCTGATGGCTCGTTATGCATTGGAGTCCAGCAAGCAACTGGCAACGGGAATACTCACCCTGGGGGACATGGGCTACAAAAAATTATCCAAGTATTGCCCAGAGCTGCTTTCTGATGGTTCTAGTTCTCCTGGCTGGAAAGGTGGGAAGCTAGCAACATCTGAACCCGATGATGCTGGAGTGGTGAGTTCAATGCTGCAATACAAAAATATTCCTTTCAGTTAATTCAACAATTGTGTTCACTGAAACATGAATTTAAGTCTTTTTATGTGTAAATTCCCCCTTTATCCATGCTCTTAACTTAAATATTTGTGGTTTTCTCTCATTTGACAGAATTATTATTATTATTCTTTTATCTGGTTGCATTTGTCAATTGCAGGTTGTTGTCAAGGATGTTGTTTCCTTAGAAATTATATCACAGTTTAGAGCTCATACAAGTCCAATATCTGCTTTGTTTTTTGATCAAAGTGGGACCCTTCTGGTCACTGCTTCAGTACATGGTAACAACATAAATATTTTCAGGATCACGCCTTCTCAAAAGCACAGTGAATCAGGCAGCCATGATTGGAGCACTTCATATGTGCATCTCTACAAGCTGCATCGTGGAATAACTACAGCTGTAAGTATATGTCAATTTCTCTAGGGTTATTCGTTATTATTATTATCATCATCTTCCTTTACCAAGAGGTCCCTTATTTTGATGAAATTTATTGCCTCTCTTTTTATTCTGGAGGTCATCTAAAACATATGCTTTAGTCATGACAGTCAGTGGATTGCTATTGTTTCACCAAAAGGGACTTGCCATATTTTCGTTCTATCCCCTTTTGGTGGAGATGCTAGTATTCAATCTCTACATTCTCGTATCCAAGGTATCTTGTATCCTGTTTCTTCTCCACTGTGGTGGCCTACTTCATCTTTCGCTGTAAATGAGAAATTTTCTTCGCTGCCGCCTCCTCGTACCCTCTCTGTGGTCAGCCGGATAAAAAGCAGTGACTCTGGTTTGCTTAATTCAGTAAGCAATGCCGCTTCTTCAATGGCAGGGAAGATATGCATGCCATCTGGAGCTCTTGCTGTCATTTTCCACAGTTCCAAGTAAAGTAGTTTTGCAAATTTTCCACCAAGTACTAGTTCCTTAGAGCACATCTTAGTTTACACTCCATCAGGCTTTGTGGTTCAGCATGAACTCCAGTCATCTGCGGGGATTGAAGTAATTGAGTTCAAAGCAGAAACCTGGTCAGGTCTACAAGTACCACCACAAAATGAAGAATTAAAGGTGAAAGCTGAACCTATTCAATGGTGGGATGTCTGTAGAAGATTGGATAATCTGGAAAGAGAGGAAAGTATTTCTGGGAGCATCTTTGATGGGCAAAGTGATCCTGAGATAGATGATGACTCAAAAGCAGTTTTCCATGAGAAGGAAAGTGCTGCGGAAAAAAAACTAGTCAAGAGTGAATTTTGGTCGTCCTCTGAGAGATCACACTGTTACTTGTCCAATGCTGAAGTGAAAATAAACTCCTCTAGGTTACCAGTATGGCAAAAGACCAAGGTATTGATATATTATCTTCTATTTGGTACACAAGTCTAAGGTACTTCTAATAGCATTACTTATGTCATTGTATTTTGTACTGTTTTGCTGGTTTCCAATATTGAATTTTTAGATACATTTCCATGTGATGGAACCTTCGAGATTGGAATGTTATTCAGGCGGGGAATTTGAAATGGAGAAGGTTTCTTCAATTGAAGTCGAAGTAAGATGAGAGGATTTGCTGCCAGTATTTGACCATTTCCCTGTCTTGAGAACTGCCTGGATGGACAGGTAATTGCGTTTGTATGGTTTCTTGTTAAATCTTGTGTTTTTGGTCAATTTTTTGTGTTGTCTTGACGTTCACGATAAATGCCTGTTTCGTTAATTTTTTTGCCCTTTATTACACTGATGGAAATCACTACTTAGGATTGATATATATGATTAGATTGGTAACTTTTTCAGATATGGTTAGGGGCGTACTGGTTCTATATGTCTTTTGCTTCCTACATATCACATAGTTTGTTATATGGTGGTCCTGGACGAAGTTTTAGGACATTTGAAGTGGTTTGCTGCAACATTACAACTGTTTCTTAAAAATGAGTTATCAACTTTTTAAGTAAATGAGGAATCTCTCAAACGTATCTTTTCTTCGAGTAAACTTATTACTCCCCCTCCCTCCTCTCTCTTTACTCTACCCCCTGAAACATGTTATTCATGTTCTATGCGTATTCTGCTTGGTTGTTTGATATAGATCAATGCCTATTGAGGGAAGATATTCTAATGCGCTGTCTTCAGATCCTAGAGAGAAGACTAATGAAGCAAGTATTATCTGTCATTCAGAACCACCATCATTTAGTTCTACCGAAAGCTCTGATGGAGGTTAGTCCTTTCAGTCTTCTATTAATACTTTAGTTCACCTAGTTCTTTTGCTGGATCAACCACCCTGAATACTTCGTGAATTTATTAACAGCAAGAAATTACCTTTGAGAAATCTCATTCTTAAAATAAAAGAGCTCACGTGTCTATGTATCTAACCCAGATATTTTGTGGTCAAACTCATTTCTCAAGATTTTTGTCGGGATCGTCAGGGCGAATTGAAAATCTGCTTGATTTAGAGCACATGAACAGTGATAAGTCTCAACTGCACATTAACCGTTCTCTGAGTGAATTAAACGAGGAAAGAGAACTGAATATCGATCTCAAGACTTCCATAATGGACCAGAGATTGAGGACCTCTATGCCCTTAACTCCCGAGCACCCGTAGATTAGATTTTCATGTTGATAATAACACGACCACAAGTCTATCGTGCTCATCTGGGAATGAGACCCCATTACTGAATGCTGACAAGTCTTCGGGGACGGAGAAAGCAGAAGATTTTGAGCAGTTCTTCCAGGAAGGCTACTGTAATAAGCCAAACATTCGTGATCCCCACCAGTCAATTGAAGTTGAGAATGATCAAGAGGAGGGCACTTGCAGTAATTCCAATGAGAAGGAAAATTCGAGGACGATGAATGGATTGGTGGCGTATTTGAATTCTCTGAAGAAGGTAAGCACAGATTGAATTATAAAACGTATCATTTCTCTTTATCCTGTTTTGTTTAGTCATGTGAATCCATTGTGCAACTTTCCAATTGCAGGTTAATTGCTTCTTGTGGTTTAAGTTGTCTATAGATTGTGTTCAATTATCGTAAGAATTTCATTCTCAAGTCATGCGATGTGAGGCATGCCATGTATATTCTGTATATGGAAATCGTTAGAGACGTGAAAGAAGACGCTTCGTAGAAGTTTTTCTTGGTTTATATTCGCCCGTGTTTTGAATTCCCAATCCACCGTGACCGTGTACAGACCTCAAACGATTTGTCTGCTTCATAAAAAAGGAAAAACAAACGAAAAATGAAACCAACATTATACATCCCTTTTTGGATTTGTAATAGACTTATAGGTAGTTTTTTCCTAATATTTCTGCTGCTGGCAAAAATATGTATTGAACGATTTCTACTTTTCCCTATTCTCTTATCCGGTTGCTGTCTATGTTGTATATATGTTCATTTGTAAAACGGTAAATGTGAATTTATTAGTGGAATTATAAATGTTGAGAATTAGAAATCTCAATTTTATTCTCAATCAATTCATAGAAAGAAAAATAGAAACTTGAGAATATGCAAAATTTATAGAGGTTCGTCTCAGCGTGAGATTATGCAGTAATGAGTTATAATGAAAAGAAATTTACAAATAAAAATAGAATTAAAATTGTACATTCAAAGGGGGTAAAAGAAAGAAAAAAGGCAAAAATTAAGTGGCGTAGCCAATATGGTAATAAAATAATGTTCTTGACAGAATATTAAACGGAAAGTACAGGGTGTGAATTGGTCAAGCTTATCTGTTTTAAGGAAAAATATTTAAAATCCTTAATCGCCATAAAAATTTCACTGATCTCTGGTAAGTAAATGCTCAGGTTTTAATCCCACAGTTAATTCATACCATTCTAATCCTTTTCAACTTTCTTTCACGGAATAAATGATTTCACATTCACTTGGGTATATCTTACATGAGATCTGCAATTTGAAACTTACGTTTAGGACAGACACACGAACAAAAAGCTATTTCTGAGCTGCTGTGCGTACGAGAAAACTGAACAATCTAAGCAAAAGCAGATGGAAATTGTGGGACAGTTGCAGAAACAATATGTTGACTTCATAACTTCTCTGTTTCGTGAGGTGACTACTTTTTTAATGATAATTTTTCCTTTTTTTTTTTCA